TAAAACAAATCATAATCAACAGATTATTTCGATCAAACGAAATAAATTTATTTTTTTTGTTAAAAACAAAAAAAAACTATTATTATCTTAATCAGAATGAGAAGAATTTTATTTATTTGCTGATCGACTATAATAAAATTAAGGATTATAAGATGTGTATCTTTTATGTTATTTTAAGTGCATTTAAAGAAACATTTACCTAAGAATCAATAATAAATGGATTAGCAATCATGTGATAAATATATTCATTTTTTTTTGTTTTCATTGGAAAAAATAAAATGGCAATAGATTTAATAATAATGAATATGAATTTTCATTTAGATTAATATTAAAACCAAATGAATCTATTATTCATAATAAGTATTTTATTCTGTTTATTCTTTTCAAATATAATTCTATTACCATTACCATTCAATCAATATGCTTATATGCTTGCACGAGAACAAATTAGACAACATGATAGAGGTGTACAAGCTCAAAATAATTTAAATTCAAAAGAAAAAGTCGTTAATTTATATTTAGAATTATTACAAGCTAAAGAATATATTAATACTAAAAATTATTTTTATCCATCACGTCCAATTGAAACAGAACTTGAAAATATAATAAAAAGTTCATTTTATCAATTTTTAACATTATTACCTAAAGGAGGAAATTTACATATACATGAATTTCAAGTTCTTGACAGAAAATTATTACTTGAATCTATAAAAAATTCTCCTGAATATGATTTATTATATATTTGTGATCAAAATGATTGTATAAAAAATAAATATCATTTAAGATATTATAAAGACAATGTTCCTTCGGGTTGGACAAAAGTAAAAGATTCAAATTGGACTATTTCAGATATTATTAAGAAAACAACACTCACTGGAATTTTAAATGAACTTAAAACACCAATATATTCTACTGATACCGAAGGTCGATGGAATGTAGCTAATCAATATGGAGTTTTTAATTTTTATGACGATTTAATAAGATATAATGTTACAAGGTTTAATTATATGAAATTAGTTTTAGATCAAGCACTCGATGAAAATATTCAATTATTAGAATTTCGACGAGGATTTTTTGGAAAATTATTTTATTTTGATGAAAATGGTTTAAGAATACCAATAAATGAAAGTGAAGAATTAGATTTATTATTGAAATTTAAACAAGATTATATATTAAAAAATCCTAAATTTATTGATTTCATATTTTTAATTTATAGTACAAGACAATTATCAAAAGAACAAATCAAAATTGATATTAATAATTTAATTAATCTTCAACGTACATATCCAGATTTTATTCGTGGATATGATATGGTTGGTGAAGAAGATCAAGGTCATACAATATTATTTCATAGTGATAGTCTTATGAATGCATTTAATTATTCAAAAACAAGTAATGGATCATTTGATTTATTTTTTCATGCTGGTGAAACTAATTGGCCTGAAAATCATCTTCCATCAAATTATGGTGATGCTGTATCAACATTTGAGAATATTTATGATGCACTTGTACTTCGAACTCGTCGTATTGGTCATGGACTTAGTTTAGCCAAACGTCCAGATATGTATGAATATATTCGTGAACGTCAAATAGCAATTGAAGTTTGTCTAGCAAGTAATCAAATATTAGGTAATTATAATAATCATTATTTTGTGAAACATGATATGGCACAATCCACAAGCCATTAGAGATATTTCCAAAAAAAAGAAATGGTGGCTGAGGAGTAATATATGGGTTTTTTAATCAAATTTATAAGAAATCTTGAAAAAATGCTTCCTTTTATCATAAGAAAAAAGCAAAAATGTGATTGTTTTAAATAGTAATTGTTTGATAAATCGACCGACACTTTCGACTAGAATACTTAAGACTCCTGAAAAGATAAATCTAAAAGTCTTAGGCTTGTATAGTTTTGTAAATTTAAAAAAACCTTAAGATGTACGACTGATGCGTTTACCGCATTTTTTTTTTCGAAATGAGTATTATTATCTTTTACTGCATTTTCTGATGGATTCAGCAGAAAGAGGGGTGAAGAAATGTGTGCTAAAATATATAGAATAACACAATCTTCTTAGGATTCGCAAGAGCCTCTATATCATGTTTTATATGTTAATTCTACAAGGATTATACTAACATCTTTATTTATCTATATTTCACTGTTTTGTTTTTTCTTTCGATAAAAGGTTATGTTGCTGATCTTCGTAGTCATCCAGGAATTGTTTATCATCGAAGTGGAATTCCAATTGTATTAGCGAGTGATGATCCAGGAAGTTTTGGTTACAATCAACTAACAATAGATTTTTATTTGGCAACAATGGCATGGGGTTTAAATCTTGCTGATTTAAAACAATTTGCCTGGAATTCTATTCAATATAGTTCACTTCTAGATGATCGAAAAACAGAAGGATTTCGAAAATGGGAAAATCAATGGAATTTATTTATTGATTCTTCATATACATTAGCATGTAATCAAACATTTCCTAATGTAATTATGAATATATCGGATATATTACCTTCCTATGGACCATATGATCGATCTATTAATGTAACACTTTTTGGATCAGGATTTGAAATAGCAATATGCAAAAGTATAATTTGTAAATTTGGTGAAAAAGAAACAAATGGAATATTTCTTGATATAAATGAAATTATTTGTCCAACACCTTCGATACATAATGATCTTTCGACTGTACCTATTTCCATTGTAATTAATAATGAAACATTTCAATCAGGACTTAATTATAAATTTGTTTCATCGTTATCAGTTATTGATGATTGAACTTTACCTATAACTACTCCAGCAAAAACTGATAAATTTGTAATAGTCATTCGAAATTTAATCGTTGCTTTACTAGTATGACTTTAGATATTGATCCTATAGATCGTAATAAACAAAATAAAACTAATTACACTGAAAAAACATTTTAAAGTGTAATTTGCTTCAATTCAAATATGTGTTATTCCTTTTTTAATTATAATATCATCTTAAGATATAAGATTTTTCCGAACGGTTTGATCTTAACAGATGATCTGTCGAGTTTTCATTTAATAGAATGTTCTTGTTTGCTAGTAAAATCAGCCTTTATCAGCTCGTGAGTGTGGATCACATAGAATACAAAACCCATACATTCACAACTGCCAACACAATTCTTGTTTGTGAGCGGATGATTTTTCTTAGATACACAAACGATAGTTATACCGAACAATAGTTATTGAGCATCGCAGACGTTAGTTGTTTTCTGTAGAAAGAAAGCGAATTTGAGGGTGTGGATTCGGGTGTATGGGTAGGGTGTGCATGTGAGTGTGGGGGTGTGGCTGTGGCTGTGGCTGCGGGTGGGAAATGTGCGTGTGGGTGTGGGCATAGGTATGGATAAACTGAAAACTCACAGTCACAGTCACATACCCACACTCACACTCACCCACAACCGCCCTTCACTCACACCCACACCGTGCACCCATACCCCATGCCCCACACCTACACCCACCCACATCCCACACAGACACTCACACACCCATACCCACACGCCCACATCCCACACCACAAACCCACACCTAGAGGTGTTAGCCGATCATTTGATCGGCGGCGGTGGCGAGCAGTTCTCGCCGAGGAGACGATTTTCGGCGGCGGCAGCGGTGATGACAAAATTTTTTATATATTGTTTCACAGGGTCTTGCATGGGTCCCTACTGTTAAAGCAAACATTAGACGTTCTCTTTTCACAAAAATATAATGTTGTTTTCCTCTTAGCCTGCTGATGTTTTTTTATGTCAAATTTCTTCTACTATACATGACTTTATTTTCATTAATTCCAAACACTCACACTGCCCCATCATAAAATATCTTCAAACCAGACAACAATAACACATGATACAAGCCAAAACGGCAGTAGTGTGACTATCCATCTATTTCAAGTTCAAATACAGATTACATTTTCAAATGATAGCTCCAATTAGATCATAGATGAAACAAACCTTGAAATTGGAGTTTGAATTCAAATTTAAGTCGATACTTTCCTGTGTGTTGGGAACAGGAGCAAGACTTATTTTCATTGATTATTTGAATTCGAATTCAAAGTAAATATTCTTTTTCTTTGCTGACAGGGATGTCGATTGGAAGTCGAATTCGAATCGCAATGTTAGTTTCATTTATACTCGAACTTGAGTTAGATAGTTGGTTAAAATTGCATATTGAATAAGTGAAACATGACGAAACGAAGAAACTAATAGCGATGAATCTATTGTGCATGAAGTACCAAAGCAAGTAAGAACCTAATAACTATGATAGCATTACAAAATCACAAGGAGACATATTTGCTTATCAGCTAGACTTTCAGACTATAAGTCATCCAAGAAAAAATACACTATTACCTATTTTTTAAAAGTTCTGTTGATTTCAGCAATATATAATTGTCACACAGTTCAAACTTGAAATATTACTGATTATTATCAACAAGTGATAAATTAGAACAGGAGAAAACTTGAACTGTGGCCTTTAATTCGATCGACGGCTGTAGCGGCGAAAAATCGGCGGCTAACACCTCTACCCACACTCCACCCACACCCCACACCCACACCCCACACCCACACACCAATGCCCACATTCTTGGCTTGGTTTGTTTTGAAGAGATCGACATGCTTTGGTTTATCTGAAAATAATTATGCGAAGGAATTACTGCTCGAAACAGGAACCAATCGGTAAAAATAAGTGGTTGAACTTTGGTCGCAAGTTTCAATCGAATTACTATTAAGCAATTTATGCATGCGATGGAATCAAACAAAACAGCTGCTTCTTTTTTCACTTTTTCATGAACAGAAACGACGAAGTGATGTGAGTGTGATGCATGTGTGTGTACGCCATTCTGGATTGAAGTGCGAGTTGTGCCACCAACGTTATGAGTAAAAAACAAAAAAGAGGGACATTACAAAAAACAAACATGGAAGCATGGTGATGCTTAAGTGAGCGACAACAAACACAAGTGAAAGCTTGCCTTTTGATCAAATTGAATGGCTTCAACATATTATGACGATGCCGAACGTTTTACCTTTCGTAAATCCACTAGACAACCAGAAGAGTATTCTAACCCAGCGTACGAACCCGAGCCCGATCCATCTGCAAAACAATTATCAGCCGTGACACCATCTTCATTCAACCGATCAATTGATGGGATGATGCCGCGCAAAGAGGCATCCACGATGCGTCGCATTGTTGTCGTACGGAATACGCCAAATCCACAGGTCGAGTACGGAAAATCGATTGACACGAGTGTATGTAACCAAGAAAAACCATTAGAATTTCGACCGAGAATTACTGATGGGGTGAGATTTTGAACGTATTTATTTATTTGTTTCAATGATTTAGAGAATGTTTTAGCGAACATCTGTCTATGTCATTCGACGACAGATTCCACCGAAAGATGAGAAAAATCCAACAATTTATTATTCATCGGTACAAGACTCACTGGTGAAAGATTCATCTGCACCTCTCGAATACATACAAACATCTTCTCCAGATCCAAACTCTCCTGCATCCAACATGTCATCTCCTCCGTATCCATACGCTCCTGCATCGCGTACTTCCACTCCTCCTGATTCACCGACTAAAGAGCTTTCACAGAGTAAGCAGCTTCCTTCTACTGATAGACATTCATTCGGTTCATTTTATCATTTGAGAGCTCTTGTTTCCATCCATGGCTTAAATTTTTGCTAAAAAAGAACGCGTTAATGCTGGCCGGTTTTATGCGTTTCGCATCATTTTATTAAGAAGCAGCGAAACGTGTTAAACCGATCAGCATTAACGCGTTTTGCATCGTTTCTTAAGCAGCCACAGATCGGACTTTGCGAGAACTTGCAGAAAATTAAAAAACGATGAGCCTTTTGTCAGAACGTAATATGACGAAATGATCCATCCATTCTTGCATTGAATCATATGATTGTTATGCTACACTTACATAAGCGGAAAGAAAGTTTCGACAAAGCTGAGAGAAAGATTCGAAAAAAAGCGTCGCAGATTGGATATCATGCAGATAAACCACTTAACTAAAGTAATCGAAAGATACGACTCTTCATTTCGCTCTGATTCAGATGTTAGGTATAACTATCGATTTACATTAAAAAAAATTATGCATTGCACTAAAGTCGATAAAAACTTTTCCTTTTTCCACTGCTTTCGCTCAACATATATGTATATTAAGAAATGAAAGAAAATGATCATTCTTACTATATACTTCTATCCTCTACTAGCAGCTGATCCCATTTATTCCACTATAGTGCCAGGGAACGAGCTGCATTCGTATGATACCCATGTTTCAGACAAACTATAACTTTTGACATTGGGTGAACTGTACTGGAAGTAGAGTCTACAATTGAAACTCGCCACTAATCACGAAAATGTTTCTTCTGTATGAGATATCTAAGAAGAACCACTACATCAACATATGCATGACTCTGCTAAAAAGTTGACTTACTATTCTCAAACTTTTGATATTCAGGACTGCGTTGATTTAGCGCTGCAAAACGCGTTCTCTCTAAATGAAAATACCGTAGAACACGTTTTTATCTCGTGCAAACGTGTTTTACTGCGTTCTTATCTTGACTAGAATTCTCTCTGTAATTGAACTTTAGAAAGCTGCGAAACGTGTTTGACTAATAAATGCGTTTAATTCCGTTTTTATGAATAAAAACCGCGTTCTGTGGTGTCTATTTTATGAAATGATACGAAACGGATACGTTTCACATAAGAGTTGTGCATCATTTCCTGTATGAACGATGTGCAACTCATGTTTTTCCTGCTGAAGTGCTTTTTATACCTGAAGCGCTGTTAAACGCTGTAGTAAAATAAATGAATTTCGCACCATGTTAAGAATGAATGCTGAAAAACATGTTTTCTTCCGAAAACACCAAGAAATGCATTAGAAAAAGTAGCTGCACTTCGTATCTTTCCGAAAATCCAGTTTATGAGAGGCGCTTTTTCTGAATGAGGCACGTTTGAGAGCGTTTCGTTTCGAAAATGGTGCAAAACACATTTGAAAAAAGATGCGTTTTGCGGTGCGTTTCCTTTGAATTGTTACGCTATGAAGCAGTCAAACGACTCTTATCGCGCTCACTTCATATCGCTCGACTAGTCCTCAAAAATCGTCGTCCAAGGGTGATGCGTTCAATAGGCAAATTTTTCCGTCTTTCCCTCGTAATAAAGGAACATGAAGGTCATTAGAAATGTTGATTAATTCTCTCTCAAATATATTCTATATTGTTCATATAGAAACTCACTCTCCACAAGCTGGGCGGATACAAACCAAAACGGCGAACATGCAAAACCGACGACAAGCACGGAGTAAACGACCAACCAATGGAGAACCAGCTGTTGAAAGTGTCGATCAAAGTATATCGGTCGGTTCACGAGTTAAATCCGTCAAATCAACCGTGCTTGTCAATTCCGAACTCAATACTGTAGCTATCATTAATGATCCATTTCGGAGAAGTGTAACGAATAATGAATCAACCAAACATTTGAAGACCGGCAAGAAGACCGAATTTAAAGAAGAACAACAGCGAGTACGACACAATCGATCTTTTACTCAATCGCATGGTCAGTCCATACAGAAAAAATATCGACCACTACAACCGGGTTCACGATCAGTGAGCAAATCCAAGAACACAAATCAACCATTATCGCCCAGTAAGGATCTGATCATCGAACTTCCAGAACGTCTTCTCAAAGGACGGCAAATGTCACCTCGATCGTGCGAATACAATTTGAATAAAATGGTTAAAAATATCCATAACGTTTTTGAAGATGCAAAAAAACGATACAGCGGCAAGATACCCACCAAAGTCGTAGTTAAAGTGGCCGATAATGACGCGCAGACTACTTGAAAATCGCTCCATTTGTGACGATCATTGTCATTATTCATACTCGGCTTCTATACAGACCTATTTTTCATCGAAGGCATCATTTTTTTTCGTATATAAAGGAGAAACATCTATGTGGCGGTCCTGAAACGAATCTGATCATAGATATATGGGTGTGTGTGTGTGGATGTGTGCGTGAGGGTGTGGG